AACAAACAAACACAAACAAATAAATAAAAGGAGGGGGTTGGTCTACATGCACAAGCAATCTCATTCCATACCATCTTCTCCAGAAGATTGTCCCTCCTATAATTTCCACTCACTCTGTAATCTTTGATCTCTTTCCTATCTACCAGCTGCTTCCCCACTGCCTATCGACATGTTCCTATCTCTCCCATTCTCAAAAAACCCTCACTTAATCTGTCCATTTCTGATAGCTACAATCCCATATCTCTCCTCATTTTTGGTGCTAAACTCCTCGAGAAGGTTGTATAATATATGTGGTTCCATTTCCTTTCCTATCACTCTCTTTTTAATTCAATACAGTCTGGTTTCTGATCCCAGCATTCAGTTGAATGATGAATGTCCGGTCTGAACCCTCTCTCCAAAGTTACTCATGATCTCTTAATTGGCAGATCTGATGGCCTATTCTCAATCCTCATTCTTCTTGACCTCTCCGCATCCTTTGATACTTAATTACCTTCTTGACATTCTCTTTTCTCTTGGTTTTTTCCTGACAATTATTCTCTTCTGGTTCTTCCCTTACCTGTCTGTCTGCTCCATCTTGGTCTCTTTTGCTGGATGACATTAATAATAATGATAATAATAATAATAATTCATTTATTAAGTGCCTACTATGTTCTGAATACTCTGCTAAGCATGGGGGATACAATCCCCCACCCCAATCTCTGACTTTAAGGAGCTGACAATTGATGGGGGAAGATGGCACACAAATGGAAGCTGAAAAGGGTGAGGGGGCCCATTGGGGATGGGTGGGGGGAAGATCCTTGATGCCAGGGCATGCCAGAGAGGAGTCAGAAGTCCCAAAGTAGTGGAGTCAAGTGAGAAATTTGAACTGAGCTCCCTCCTTCCTGGATCTTCCTCCAGGTCACACTCACTAATTATGAGTGTTCTTAGTGGTCTTCTTAGCTCCCATGGATTCAAGGATTATCTCTGTGCTGATTCTTCTCAAACCTACTTATTCAGGTGTGTGTGTGGGGGCATCTCCAGTCATCCTGATCTATATCTGGGCACTGGACCCAGATGGCTCTGGAGGGGAAATTGAGGCCAGTGATTTTGCACAGCCCTCCTTCACTTATATCCAATTCGCTTGCAAGTCATGACATCCTCTTCCTGATGTCATGCTCCACTTTGGTAAGAAGGACAGAAAACAACAAACAACCACAACTTATTCAGGCCTAACTCTCTGCTGTCCTCCACATTCTTATTTCTAACTGCCCCGGACATAACAAACTGGATGTTCTGTAGATATCTTAAACTCAACATATACCACATCCTCCCAGTCATCTAGGTTAGCAATTAAGGTGTCATCACTGATGCTTTACTTTCTCTTAACCCCTTTTCTAACCTGTTGCCAAGGTCTGTCAATTTTACCTTAGTGACATCTCTTGCACATGCTCCTTTCTCTCCTCTGACACTACCACTTCCCTGGTGCAGACCTATATATCACCTCATGCCTGGAGTATTGCCATAGCCTGTTGGGTGGTCTCCCTGCCACAAATCTTTCCTCACTCTAGAACATCTGCCATTCAGATGTCAAAGTGATCTTAAAGTGAAGGCCTGACCAGGTCATGCCACTACTCAATATACATCTGTGTCTCCCATTCACCTCCAGATCAACTATAAAACCCTCTCTTTGGCATTCAAAGCCTTCACCCCCTTCCCCCTCCCATCTTTCCAGCCTTTTTACACTTTACTGCCTTCCACACTTCCTTCAAAACTCAGCTCATGTCTCACCTTCTGCAGGAGGCCTCTCCTGTTTTCTCCCCTCCTTCCCAGTGCCTTCTCTTTGAGATGACTTTCCATTCACTTTGTATATCTCTTGTGTGAACATAGTTGTCAGCCTGATGTTTCTACCATTGGCTCCCCAAGGCAGGAACATGTTTTTGTCTTTCTTTCTTAATTGCCAGCTCTGAGTACAGAGCCTGGCCCAGAGAAGAACGTCCAGTAAATGCTCGTTTTCTGATTGTCTAAGTTGCTTATCTGGTTCTTCTCACTTCTCTCAGCATTACTTCACACACATACACCTCCCAGTGCTTCTCTGTTTCCATCACATTCACTGTTTCAGCAGAGGAATGCTATATTACATTCATAGATTGCAATTTATTTAGCTATTAGTCAGTGGGCATCTACTTTGTTTCTAGTTCTTTGCTACTATGAAATGTGATGTTCTAAATAGCTTTATATAAAAATAATCTTTCTTGTTATTATTGATGGTCCTAGAGGATCTATGTCTAGCAACATATTCTCTAGGCTAAAGTGTTTGAACATTTTAGGTCCCTCTCCCCTTTCAAAGCAAAATTCAAATAGCCTTTCATAATGGTTGGGCCAGCTCACAGCTCTGCCACTAATATATTACTGTGCCGGATTTTTCACAATCCCTTCAATATTGACTCTCCCCATATTATGTTATCTTTTCTGATTTTCTGGGCATGAGGTGAAACCTATGAGTTGTTCTGATTCATAGTTCTATTATTATTAGTGAGTCAGATAGTGAGGGCCCTTGGTCTGACATGTTTTGGATTAGATGACCATAGAGGTCTCTTTAAACTGAACGATCGGTGAACTGATTGGATATGATGATAGGGAGAGGAAAGTCAAAAGTAATGCCAAGACTGCAAACACGTCCAGCTGGCAAAATGTATTGCTGATGCCACTAATAGAAATAATACAGTCATATTTCACTCAATATTATTTAGGAATTTCTTGTAGTACTCTATAACTATTCAGAATCAAGGAGGAGGGTATTTTGCTTTGTCCTTGAAACTGACTTTCATACCTCTAGCCATTGAAAACTCCATGGAGCTCAATGTGGATAATTCAGTTCCCTAAGGTCAAACCATGGTCTATTGTTGCAGCTTTTAGAATTTAAAGATCTGCATCAGATTCAAGATTCTGGTCAGACTCTCAGTAGTTCAAGTAGCTCTTGCTGGAGGTTCTTTCTGAAACTCCAGAAGTTATTTTTGAAACACTAAGTTAATATGTTTCCTTAATTCAAATCTCAGTGATACTATGTCCTAATGTTCTGTGAGAGTAATGCTGTTGTGACCTACTGTACCCAGGCCAGTGATCTATCCCTTGGCTGGGCTGGGCTTTGTTAAAGTTTAGACAAGCAATCCTTTGCTTGTCAAATTCTTATTCAGGCCTTAGACACAATTTCTTCCAGCAGGCCTTCTCTGCCCCTTATTCTCAGCAACAGCTATCACCTCAGAGCTTACCATGTACTTTGTACCTCTCTACTTTACTTACCATGTAACATTGTGTATTATAGTTATGGTGTGCCTTATGCTTCTATCAGATTGTAAATTTCATAAAGATGGAAACCCTGTTTTATCGAAGCTGCCTATTTCTCCCTGCCTATTATAGTGTTCTGCAAACAGCAATTGTTTAATAAATGTCTATTGAGTGAACAAATATGTGCTCTCAGGGTGACAAGAGGATTTTAAGTCCTTAATTGTTGTGAAGTAAAGTCAGAGATGGGGCACCAACATCTAATCCCTGAATGTGAGTGTATTCTCCTTTATAAAGAAGAAGAAGAAGAAGAAGAAGGAGGAGGAGAAGAAGAAGAAGAAGAAGAAGAAGAAGAAGAAGAAGAAGAAGAAGAAGAAGAAGGAGAAGAAGGAGAAGAAGAAGAAGAGGAGAAGAGAAGAAGAAGGAGAAGAAGGAGAAGAAGAAGAGGAGAAGAAGAAGAAGAGAAGAAGAAGAAGAAGGAGAAGAAGGAGGAGGAGGAGGAGGAGAAGAAGGAAGAAGAAGAAGAAGAAGAAGAAGAAGAAGAAGAAGAAGAAGAAGAAGAAACAGCAACAATATGGTGCCTTGAGGTTGACAAAGTACTTTTTCTTCACAACAACTCCCAATTTTAAAAGAGCTGGTGGCATTTATATAGCATTTTAAGGTTAGCAGAGCTCTTTATAACTATAATCTCATTTTATTCTCACCACAACTTAGAGGTAGGTGCTATTATCATCCTCATTTTATAGATGAGGAAACTGAGGCTGAGAGGTGGTTGACTTGCCCAATGTAGCGTAGGTAGTATGAGTCTGAGGCCATATTTGAACTCAGGTCTTATTGACCTCAAGTTTAGTGCTCTATCTACCATACCACCTAGCTGCCTTAACTGGCATATAGGTGGCCAAGGTCACACCAGTAGGTATTAGAAGATTAGACCCAGACTTTCTGGCTTCTGTATACTTTCCAGTACCACATATGCAGACCGTCCAAAAAACCTGGCGGGGAGCATTTTCCAAAATGATCTGCTTTTACCTTCGATTTGATTTGGCACTGAGATCTCCAGATCCACTGGCAAAAGGGCACTGATTCTGCCCTTGGCCTTGATGGCAATACAGTGGGCAAAATACGTCAGTCTGTAAATGAACAAGCAATTATTGAGCACTCACTTGGTGCCGGGTACCTGCGCTAAGTACTGGGGACACAGAGGCAAAAACAGCTCCTGCCCTGAAGGAGCTCTGGTTTCAGGGGAAGAGGAAAAAGCAAACAACTCTGGATGTATAAGATACAGAGTAAATCGGAAGGCCTCAGACAGAAGTTGGGATTTGAGCAGGCTCTTGAAAAAAGAGTAGGGTGACCAATCATTACTGCAATTTCGGGCATACAAGCAAGGAAGGCTTCAACCTCAGAGCCCCGAGCCCTTCATTTCACAAATGCAAATGCAAGGGTCTAGAGAGAGGAAAGTTAAAGAAATCCACACTGAGCAGATTCTTTCCAGGAAAGTAGAGTGGTCAACAAGATCGTACAGGATCCTAAAAAGAGAGAGGTGAACGTGGGGAAAAGGAAGAAAAGAGGCTTCTGTAACGACTGTAGAGAAGAGAAACTTTATGGAATTCACAGTATTTCCTTTTGCCAGTGGGTGTGGCTGAGTACTTTCTCCGTCACCCCCGAAACTGGTAAGGAGTGAACGGTTGACATCAAAGGGCAATCTCTCACCCCCGAGAGGGGCGAAAGGGGCGGGTCTGAGCGTGGGATTAGCAGCAGCAGGAAGGAAGGCCTCAGCACCTGACAGGATGGGGCAGAGAGGGGCCGGACTTGTCTGGGCCGGACTGGAGGTGGACACAGAGACCAAGGACCCTCCGCTCCAGACCCACATGTGGGTTGGACACACAAGCTCCAGTGGAGAGGCTCATTCTCTGTCTTACGCCTGCACTTGGGACACACACACACACACACACACACACACACACACGCACACTCCCACACCGAGTACACACGCACGCACGCAGTGACACACAACGCGAGCGCGCGCGCACACAGTGACACCCTCACCCTCACACGCCCACACGCCCACACGAGAGGTGGCGTGCACCACATCTCCGACGCCCGCCAGCTCGCAGCGCGTTGTGCTCCCCGCCTCCATTGCCATGGCAGAGGGTGCCTACCTAGGATGGGACTTCAGCACCCAGCAGGTACCCGCCTGGGCGGCGCCCCCAGGGCTGGGCTAGCAACCGCAGCCTCTCCTCCCGAGCTCAGGGCCACGTTTCTTTCTTTCTTATCCCCCTTTCGGTTTCCGGGCACGCACTCTTCCCTCCACCGTGCCTCACTTCGAGGTGCACTCCGTCTTCCCTATCCTCTATTCCTTGTCCCTGGAATCTTCCTTCACTCCTGGACCCTCCCCATTGGCGTAGGCTTTCCTCCTCTTCCTCCCAGGATCGCTTCCCGCTAATGTAGTCTGGTCCTAGGAGCTGTCACCCTGGCTTCTCCCTCCCCACTTCCTCAGGGTAGCTGGAGTGATGGGGATCGAGACGATCTAACGCTGAAAAGCGGGGAGACAGCGCCGCAGCCCTCCCGCGGCCTTAGCTCTCTACCAATGCAGCTGCATCTTTCCTTCCTCTCTTCAGTGATTGCTTTCATTCCTGGCTTCCCCCCGGCAGACCTGACTTCGGGGCCTGGACTCAGAGTACAAAGGGCACGGCCACATTAGCATCATAACGGCAAGGCTTTGTTGCTGTCTGGTATTCAGTCAATCATCGAATATATATTAAGTATCATCTATGTGCCAGAGGGGTGCTAGGCGCTGGACGTGCAAAAGCAAAAATGAACCAGCCCCTGCCCTCAACAAGTTTGCGTTACATCTGGGGAGAAAACATGAGCACATACGTATATAAAATAAATACGAAGTAATAGGGGTGCACCAGCAACTGGAGGTATCATGAAAGGCTTCACTTATGTGGCACTTGAGATGAATTTCAAAGGAGGTGACTCTGTGTCATACCAGAACCAGACCTTAATTTTCCAGAAAGACGTTTCCTAGGATGTCCCTCCCAATATTAACATTTCTATAGATTACTATTTGGTGAAAACCCTACCTCTTGATAAAAATATTAATATAGTTTTGTTTGGTAAATAAAAAAAATAACCAAACTCAAACGAAATACTTTTGTTTTGCTTTGCTTTGGCATTTTATCTTTTATTTCATGATTACTATAAAAATGTCAGTAGAGATGGTTTGGGCCCCCAAGAGAATTCCAACAGGAGAAGAAACTGTCCTCTAGTTTTCTCTTTCTAGCCAGGGGTTCTTAACCTTTTTTTAAGTCGTGGTCCACTTTGACTTTCTGGTGAAGTCTATGGATCCTTTTCCAAAATAATATTTTTAAAAGCATAAAATAAAACAAACAAGACTGCAAAGGAAGCGTTATAGGAAATATCATTTGCTATAGTTCACCATAAAGATGTAATTTTTAGATCCATAGACCGCTCAGATGCAGACCCCTGCTCTAAGCAGACCTTACACTTAGAAGATGATGAATACATTTGTCTTTGACAGACTTGGGCCAAAATGCAGAGTATTGATTCTTTTTTTCCATATCAGGCCTCAGTTTCTCCATCTGTAGGATGAAGAGTTTGGACCAAATATAGCACTTGTGATGTGTAGATGTATATTCTTATGACATTAAAAAAAAATGAGAGATTTGGACTAGGTGACCATTGAGGCCCCTTCCAACTCTAGATCCTGGGCTCAGTAACTGTATTTTGTTTTCCTCAAACTCAGCCTTTCATCCCTCTGAGAGGTACTGTTGCTCTGGTTTAACAAGTTTTGTAACTCAGCTTTCTTCCAATCTGCTGATAGTTAGAATGTGTGAGCCACTGATACTTTATTCTTGCCTCTGGCTAACTCTCCGAGCTCCAGGCTCCTTTGGGAGTACCCCTGAGGAAAGGGCCAACTAATCTGAAAAGGCTGCATTTTGGTTTTTAGACTCCACTGCCCATTCTCAGTAATAACATCAGTTAATTTGACAAATAATGATTTTTTCCAGCTGTCAATGAATAAGCAAAATTCAAGGTAAACAGAAAATGGAAAGAGGCATGGCGAGTGTAGGTAGTTTGAGAAATAGCATTAGATTTTCCTCACGCCTAAGTTACTGTGTTCATATTACTGCATATATCTATTACGGCATATTTATGTGTGTATAGATAATATATGTGTATTTGTGCATATGTGTATATGTGTATGTACACACACACACACACACACACACACACACTCAGCTATATACCTGTTGCTTTGGCCCAAAAGAAAATAGACTCTGCAAAAGCAGTTGCTGTTTTTCATTTTTGTCTTTGCATTCCTAGCATCTAGCACAGTTCTGGGACATAAGAGGCCCTTAATAAGCACTTGTTGAGTTGAATTGGTGGTCAAGACCTGTGTGTGTTATTGTTGTTATTTGTCACATGTTCTCGAAGAGAACCATGACATCAGGCAGGTGATACCATGACTTGCAAGTGAATTGGATTTCAGTGAAGGAGGGCTGTGCAAAGTCACCAGCCTTACTTTCTCCTCTGGAGCCATCTGGGTCCAGGGGCCAGATATAGATCAGGATGACTGGAGATGGCCCTATACAGCATTGGAAATTCTTGGTATGGAAATTCCTTTCTCTTTCCCTCCTGACACAGATAAGCAACTCTTCCATAGCTTAATATAAGTATGATTGACTAGGGCAGTGGTTCTCGAACTTTTGGGTCACAGGACCCTTTAATGCTCTTATAACTTGTTGAAGACTCCCCCAAAGAGCTTTTGTTTATGTGGGTTTTATCTTTAGATGTTTTTTGTGTTAGAAATTAAATATCTTAGTATTATTATGAAAATTGATTTGACCTCAGAGATTCCCTGAAAGGGTCTCCTGGACCCTTGGGGGTCCTTGGACCACACTTTAAGAAACTTTGGATTGGGTACCACAGTCACATGGCTAGTAAGTATCTGAGGCAAGATTTGAACCTAGGTCTTCCTAACTACAGGTGTGGCTCTGTATTCACTTTTCCAGTGAGTTTGTTACATATTGGGGTAATAATTAACATCATTTAAAAATATTTATTCCCTCCCCAATTATATGTAAAAACAATTTTTAACATTCTTTTAAAATTTTTTTTGAGTTCCAAATTCTTTCCTTTCCTCCCTTCCTTTCCCCCTTCTTGAGATGGCAAGTAATCTAATATAGGTTATGCATGTACAAAATGATTAACATTATCCAAAAAAAAGTATTTCAATAATAAAGTGATTTATACTTAGAGACAAGTGAATCTTTATTACTGCAATTACAGGAGAGGGTGACTGAAATTTAGGCTTACAATTTTCTCCCCACAGAATGTTTCATGTAGAGGTTTTTATATTGTATGCAAAGGAACAAAATGTTTTTCACTCAAGACAATTTAGAGACGATAGAAAAAAAAAACTATACACAGAGTATTAGCAGAGGAAAGGAACATCAAAGAAAGTGCTACTGTCCAATTTTCCTGAATTATTTACATTCTTGTTATCAGCAAGGCCTGGCATTGTTAGGACAAAGATCTCCCCAAGATTAAATTAAGGTTGTGGATTCCTGGGGTCACCTGCTGCCTCCTCAAGGTAAAGCTTATTACTCAATTAAGATTTAGAGCTTTTCCCTCTCCTTATCTGCAGGAGCAGAACTAGTAATGCAAGAGCACAAAAACTGCATTGTTTGAGATGTGAATGGATTTTAATTGGTATTGGTGAAGAGAATACTTACAGATCCATCAAAGTATTAAAGTAAATGGATCTGAAATTGATATATTGGCCCTTCCATTGACAAACTTCTGAATTTAGAGGAGACTACCAGGTTGTAGGGAGGAGAGCACTTTGTAAATCTTGAGAGTTATTATTATTATTGTTTTTAAAAGAGCTGTGATTTCAGCAATAAGGAGAATCCCAACCATGGAAGTTCCTTCCACCAAGAGAGATTAGTTGTTTGTCAGTTGTTTCTGACTCTTCATGACCCCATTTGGGGTTTTCTTGGCAAGGATGCTGGAATGGTTTGCCATTTCCTTCTCCAGCTCATTTTACAGATGAGGAAACTGAGGCAAAAGAAGTGACTTGCCTAGCGTCACACAGCTAGTAAGTGTCTCAGGCCAGATTTGAACTTAGGAAGATGAGTCTTCCTGACTACAGCCCCAGCACTCTATCTACTGTGCTGCCAAGCTTCCCTTATCCCCTGCCTATGCCTTAGTAAATATTGCTAGCGAGTTGCCTGGCTTCTGACTAAGGTCCCTTTGACAGGAGTCAGGACAGTATAGCCGAAAGAGCTCTGGCTTTGCAATCAGAGGACCTGAGTTCAAATCCTAGCTCTGCCATGTGGGACATGTATGACCTGGGGCTAGTCACTTAATCTCTGTAAGCCTCAGATCCTCATCTGTAAAATTAGATAGCATTCTAAGGCCCCTTCTGACTCTAAATCTATGTTGGTAAATCCAGAGTTCCATCTATTATATAACACTATCAGAAAATCAACTTGGCATACTGCAGATAGCTGTTTTCAAGTCCCACTTTTTTTTTTAAAGGCAATTAGGGTTAAGTGACTTGCCCAGAGTCACATAGGTAGCAAGTGTCAAGTGTTTGGTCTGAGGCTGGATTTGAACTTAGGTCTTCCTAAGTTCAGGGCCAGTGCTTTATACGCTGCGCCACCTCGCTGCCCCGCAAGTCCTACTTCTGACGTATACTAGCTGGAAAGAACTGGGCTTAAAACTTGCTCCTGACACTTCAAAGTGTGCTTGACTCATCCCTCTTCAGCCTGCAAAATCTATGAGGAGAAGGACCATTTCTTTGTCCTTTATCCTGTCTAGCATGGTGTCCTCAGCATGGAGATTTGGATCCAGCTGGTTAGGAGTTTCTGCTCATGAGAATGGGGTAGGCCTGCCTTAGGTGCACCATCTAGGAAAATGAATAGCACATACATAGGGAATATTTAGCCTACTTGAGAGTGAAGGCCAAAAAATTATTTTCAGGTTAACTTTAGCAGCATTATTTGCGTTCAAAAAATAAACGTGCTAAATCCAAGTGTTTCTTACTAATTTCTTAAAGCACAAAGATTTCTTGAGTCATGTCATCATGATACAGCCAGTTATTAGTGTATTGTGTGGTTTGTTCTTTGTTCTCAAAGAGGACCAGGACATCGGA